TGACACGCGCCTGCAGTCCCAGCGACTTGAGAGGCTGGGGTGGGAGGACAGCTTGAGCCTGGGAGTTCAAAGCTACAATGAGTGACTGCGTCACCGCACATCACCCTGGGTGACAGAACAAGACCTTGTCTCAAAAAAAAAAAAAGGAATTTTTACAGAAATGTTCATAGTAGCATTATCTATAATCCATAATAGCCAAAAAGTAGAAATGACCCAGGTGTCCATCAACCAACAATGGACAAATAAATGTGGTCCATTCACAGGACAGAATATTACTTGTGTGATTCCATTTCCATGAAAAGCCCACAACAGGGCCGTTCACAGACACAGAGAGGAACAGTGGCTGCCAGGGCGTGGACGGGGCAGTGGGGAGTGACTGCTGAGGGGTGTACATTTCTTTCGGGGGGACGGAACCATCTGGGAACCAGACAGAGGTGACGGCTGAATGTGTCGTGCCATGCAACTGTTCACTCTCAAATGCTCAATTCTATGTAGTATGAATTTCACCTAAACATTTAAAATTGGATTTTTACTGGAATTCCACTAAACGGATAAAGTCACATGGGATAAGCTGCCTCCCAGCCCAGTGCTCGCCCGGAATGTCACAGGGATGGCCCCGCGGAAAGCCGTGCTCCCCAGTCCCTTCCTGTGCGGTTGACTCATGATCAAAGCTGGCGCGGGCCGACCACGGGGGTGCCCGGTGTGTCTGGCCTCTGCCAAGCTTCCCTCTTTCTGCTCCCACCCGGCGCTGGCCGCGTCCCTCAGGCGATTATCACAGGCAGAGAATCGTGACTTATGTTGTCTCACTTTCAGTGCTCAGTCATTGTTTTTTAAACAAATAAGCCTGGAAGGTTGGCGGGATGCAGGTCCTGCTGTCTGAGGCTCTCGCAGGCGTCTCCCCACCCCGGCTCTCCCAGAACCCCGGTCGCCACTGGCGTTCATTAGACACCCCCGCCAGCTTCCAAGAGACCTGGCACCCCTGCCCGCCTCACCCTGCTCAGGCTTCTTAACATCAGCGGCTGCAACTGCCCACAGGCCATGGCGACGCCTGTGCTGGGAGGTCCAGCCTGTCCCTCGGAATGGGTGCCTGGCCTCGGGCCTGCTGTGGTCACGTCAGGTTCTTGGCTGGATCTGGTGACGGGCACCTTCTGGGCTCCCTGGTGCAGGGGCCAGCGTCTTCCCGAGACTCTCTTCCTCAGGACCACCTGCCACCCCAGCAGCACAGGTTCTCTGGAATCACAGAGGCTGGAGACCCCGGGGCAGCTGGGCCAGGGCCAGGGAAGGGAACGGTTGTCTGGGATTCTGGAGGGCTTCCCTGGCGCAGAACAGGCAGCCTGCGAGAGTAGATGTCCTCCCCGGCCCTGGGGTGGTCCGGACCCTTGGCTCCCATCTCCCAGCCAGCCCTGCTCTCTCACTGGGGCCAAGAACCTCTGCATGGCCAGCCAGGACCCCCACCCCCAGCAGCCCATACCCCCCACCTCTGGTTCTTCAAGCACCTGCCACACTTGACCCCAACAAGCTCCTCCTGGGGATCCCCCCCGGCAGGAATCCCTGGAGCTGTGCAGCCGACACCCAGGGCTCGGCCCCAGTCCTCCGGGACACCCAGGGCTCGGCCCCAGCCCTCCGGGACACCCAGGGCTCGGCCCCAGTCCTCCCGGGTCTGGACACCCAGGGCTCGGGTCTGGGCAGTACCCACTTTGGACCTGCAAGCCCAGGGCCCCTCACAGCTGCTCCGGGGTCCCTGACAGAGGCCTTTGCACCCCTGCTGCTACACGGGACCCGAGGCCACAGGCAGAGCTGGCAGGGACACGGGCTCTGTGTGGGGTGGGTGGGACGTGGCTGCAGCCCGGCTCTGCCCGCATGGCACTGGGTGTCCTCACTTGGGAAGGGGCTGAGTGAGCACAAGGCTCTGCCGGCTCCCCGGAGTGCTGACCAGGCGCTCTGCTGCTGCAGCCAAGACCAGGCTGTGGGCTTCTCTCCTGGCCCCTCAGCAAGTGGGGTAGGGCTGGGGGTGTCCAGGTCGGGGTGGGAGGCCTGAGGTCTGCCAATCTTCCCTCAGCCTGCCCCCTCCTGTTCGGGCACCTTTATCTCTAAGGCGGAAACCTCTGTGCCAAGGCCCCATGAGTGCCTGGAGATGGCTCCGACCCCTGCCGGTTGCCAGGCGCCCTGGGTGTGTCCTGCTATTCCAGCCAGGAGGGGACTCAGGCTCGGGGCCAAAGTGCAGCCTAAGGCACCGCCCACCTCAGTGTGGGGCGAAGGAGAGGGAAGGTTCCCAGACCAGCTCCAGTGCCAGTGCCCCCCTGTCTAGCAGGGCCAGAGTTCACCAGCCCCGGCCGCCGGCCCCAGTGCCCCCGTCCGTGGTTGTCACCACACCCAGGAGCCCTGCTACCACCCCCCACAGACACACAAGGTGGGACTTGAGTACGGGGCCACTTGGGGGTGCTGCGGGGCAGCCTGGCCCCAGCGACAGCCTCAGGGAAAAAGGTGGATGCCGGGGGACTCGGGAGGCAGCAGGCTTGGGCAGTGTGTGGGTGGCTCGGCCAAGACAGAGCCCATCTCCCTGCAGAGGGGCCATGTGTGCACAGCAAATGGGAGTCCCCGTAGATGCCCCTCCTCCTGTCCTGCGCTGTTGAGGGCCACGCTTGGTCCCCCACCTGCCTGGGGAGTGGCTCCCAGCACACACACACGTGGGTTCTGCAGACTCTGGCCGGGCCTCGGTGCATCCCTCCCGACGGCAGGGCACCCTCTGTCCCAGGACAGCAGTGAGGCGAGGTGGAGAGGCGGGCGCCAGCTGGGGCTCCCAGGGTCCCCACAGGCAGACATCTGTCCTTAAGGAGAGGATGGCATTTCCCGAGGGTGGGCCTGGAAGGTCCAGAGTCTTCACACTAAAACGGCGGCTGTAGTGGGAGACGGCCCCCACCCCCATCTCCTGCCACCCTCGGCCCTCCTCCCCCGGTTCCTCCACCCGACCCCCACTGCTGGTTGCCCCCAGGCCTGGTCCAGTGGCGGGTAGTGGGGACGACTGAGCAGTCACAGGCTGGGGCGCCGCGGCGACAGGGAGGGTCACTGTTCTCGGCTGCTTCCTCCCAGCCAGTGTGTGCCGCCAGATGGACAGACAAGGTCCCCCTGCCCTAGGGGCTGCAGCCCCTGCCCTCCTACCTCTCTCCTCAGCCGGCCCCACCCTGCAGGGTGTACCCTGATGTGGGGGACTGTCCCCTCACAGACCCTCCCGGGGCAGGCTGTGGACCTAGCTGCTCAGAAATTGGTCAAGACTAGTGGGGGCCCCTATGGGGAGGGCGTGGGGGCAGGGAAGGTCCTGAAGAGGGGGACGGGCGAGCTGGGCACTCCATGGGTCTGGACGTCCCAGGGTGGACAAAGATCAAGGGGCCGTGGGGGCACCTGGGACCCTGCATCTGTTCCGACCCCCACGAGCCCACTCTTGGTGCCTCTGTGGGGGCTCTCCTGCCCCCACCTGGGGATGCTTTATGGACGGTCTTGTGAGGGTTCCAGGCAGCATGGCTGAGCCCGATGACTCCTGACGCTGCTGCTGCCAAGCCCCAGTGGCCACGCCGCCACAGATATCACACCAAGGAGGAGGAGGTAGTGGGTGGACGGCCGGGCTAGAGGGGCTAGGAAGAGGGGGAGGGAGGCCCAGGCCGGGTTGAGGTGGTTCCAGAGACAAGTGAGCACGTGGCCGGGAGAGCTTCCGGGAGCGGCCGCAGCTGTTCCAGCTGCTGAGGGTAACGGAGGCTTCCAGTGACCATAGCTGGGCCAGACTCTTGCCTGGAGGGACCGACCCACCCACACTCCCAAACAGGGCCCTCTCTGCCCCCACAACTGCAGCCAGGCCATGTGGACCCGACTTTCATCCCTGTCTAAGCATGAGGCGACTCCGTGGGGGTCTGAGGTTCCCCCCAGCTCTGGTGCCCATCAGGGTCCAATCTTCCTCCAGCCCCCACCCATTCAGACAGACTGGGGACCTGTGAGCCCCCAAAACGGGCCCCCCTGCGCTCAGCCACATGTTTCCCGCCAAGGACAAGCCTCTGCCAGGCCAGCCCCACCCGCCCAGCCACTGTGAGTGCTGAGTGCCCCTAACACTGCCTGGAAGTTACCGTCTTCCTCCGACGCTTTTGGCCTCCCCCGGGTCCAGCCACACCTGTCAGGTGCTTGGCAAATACCCAAAGTCGAATGAATATCTCCACAGCAGGGGTGTCTGGCACAGCTTTTATAAGCAGAATGGCCCCTCGGCCGTGAGGGCGAGTACCTGGGTGAGCAACCGGGCTCCCAACATCCCGTGTGGAGGCACCTGGCTGGCTCCACCACCCGGCCCCACCCACCGCACACTCAGCACCACAGGCCTCCGTCCACGTGGCTTCCTGTGTGCCAGCCCCTATGAGGGCAGGTGCGGGTCAGACTTGCTCCCACCACACCCAGCACTCCACATAGCCCAGTCCCTGCACACAGTCGGCGCTCAACCAATCCCTGCACACAGTCGGCGCTCAACCAATCCCTGCACACAGTCGGCACTCAATCACTGCACAGTCGGGGCTCAACCAATCACTGTACACAGTCGGCGCTCAATCACTGCACAGTCGGCGCTCAACCAATCCCTGCACACAGTCGGTGCTCAATTGTCAATCCCTGCACACAGTGGGCGCTCAATCAATCCCTGCACACAGTGGGCGCTCAACCAATCCCTGCACACAGTGGGTGCTCAATCAATCCCTGCACACAGTCGGCGCTCAACCAATCCCTGCACACAGTCGGCGCTCAACCAATCCCTGCACACAGTCGGCACTCAACCAATCACAGCACACAGTGGGCGCTCAACCTGCACACAGTGGGCGCTCAACCAATCCCTGCACACAGTGGGTGCTCAATCAATCCCTGCACACAGTGGGCGCTCAATCAATCCCTGCACACAGTCGGCGCTGAAGCTCTGCTGCCCCCCAACCCCCAGCACACAGGCTGCGGGGCTCAGCTGCGGGCCCCTCTCCTGGCTACAGCTCGGCGGCCGGCTTGACCAGGTGGCCACTGAAGGTGATGTAGAGGTCTCCGCGCTCGCCGTAGATGGCGTTGTCCTGCTCGCGCTGGAACATGCGCACCCAGACGGCGTCGCCCGCGGCCAGCAGCAGCATCAGGCTCTGGGCCTGCATGACGCTGCGCTCGCTGGGCTGCGCGTAGAGCACGGCCGTGGGCCGCCGGTTCAGCATGATGTGCAGGTAGGTCTCCTTGTAGTTCCAGGTGTGCACGTTGAGGCTGAGGAAGTAGACCCCGGGCACCGTGCAGAGGAAGCGACCTGCGGCCAGGTCGAAGGCGCCGTCCAGGTTCACCAGCTCCGTGTCGAAGGGCACCGCCTGGAAGTCGTCGGAGCTGTGCAGGCCCTCCCGCCGGCCCACGGAGAAGGCCGCGTAGGCGCGCTGGCACGGGGCTCCCGGCGGCCCCACCTGCCCCTTCTGGCCTTTCCGGCCCTGCAGGCCCCGGGCGCCCGGCGGCCCCTCCTTCCCGCTCCTGCCCGCACGACCTCGGACGCCGGCCTCGCCCTTCTCACCTGCGGGGAACAAGCGGAAGCCGCGGGTCGGGCCGGGCTGGGCAGGCCTCCCCGATTCCAGGTACCCAGGCTGGGGCTCAAGGGTCACTGTAAGAACACAGTCTTTGCAAGTGACAGCCCCTGTCCCAGCCTCCGTGTCCACTTCTGTAAGATGGGGTGAAGCCATTCTCCACAGGTATGGCTGGACCAAGGCCTGTGACAAGGCCGTCCCCACTGGGACGGTGGGGACATGGGTGGTCAGGGCCAGCTACGGTCTGGGTTGGGTGTTAAAGAATGAGAAGGCTGGGAAGTTCCTACCCAAGTCTAACCTTAGTACGGCCTGCTGTCCAGCCTTCGGGACAGCGCAGCCTTGTCAAGGGGTCTCAGAGCAAGCAGGCCGCCCAGTCTCCCTTCCCAAGGGGCTGCTACTTTGGGGATCTCAGGAACCCTCGTCCCTCCCCAGGGTCCTCTCACCCCACTTTGGATCGTGGGCCCCTTCCCAAGCCAGGCTTCTTCTTGCTTGAGGGGGGAGCCCAGGGGTCCCTGGGCAGGGAGTGCTGCCAGGACAGAGACTGGGGCTCAGCGTCCCCTCCCGCCCTCCTCCCGAGCCCCACGTCCCCTTCCACTCCCTGTGGACTCGGGTCCTGGTGGGGGAGCATGCAGGCGGCACCCACGGGCCTCACCTTTGAGGATTTCGATGTCTATGGTGGGCCGCACACGAGGCAGGCTCCTCCACGGGTCCCCGTCACTCACCCGGGCATAGGGTCCGGGGGGCCAGGCCGGGCGGCAGCAGTGCACACAGGGCCTCCTGGGCAGCCCAGGCCAGGCCCCCGCGGGCAGCAGCAGTGCCAGGAGCAGCAGGGTGGGAGCTGCCATCTCGGCCAGGGCTGGGGGAGAGGGAAGAGGGGAGGGACTTAGAAGGAGGTGCCCCAGCTGGAGCCCCCAGACACTACGGCGGCCCAGCCCCACCCTGCCCCCATTGGGAATACAGCTGGTGGAGGCGGGAGCTTCTGCCTGGACACGGACGGTCCTGGCCCAGTGGGTGAGGCCAAGGCTGGGGCTCAGGGGCTGCCGCACTCTGGGCTGCACCAGGCCCCCTGCACATCTGGAGTCGGGGAGTCCTGGTCCCCAAACCTGAGGCCCCCACACCCAGCAGATAGAGAAGAAGCTGTTATGGGACACAGAGGTCTCTGAGACAGCCCTCTAAACTCAGGAGCGGGTGGCCACCCGAGGCCCCACCCTCTGACTGGGCAGAGCCCTGGGGCATGGCGGCTGGCCTGCTCCAGGGAAAGGCCCCCCAAAGCTGGCCTGGAGCAGGGGGCCCTGCACAGTGCACGGAGGCACAGTCTCAGCCGGGCCCAGAGAACCTCTCGTCCAGAGCCCTCAGGGCAGGGCCTGCAGGGGCCTTGGGAGGCCACCCCTCTGCCTCCCCCAGACTAGGCAAGGATGGTCCTACCTTGGTGCTGAGGGGGAGCCAGAGCCAGCCTGGGTCCCCATGAGCAAGGTGGACCCCCTCCCGACTCTACCAGCAGCTGCCCCAACAAGCCGGTCTCAGTTTCGCCCCCTGCCAGGTGGGCCTTGCCTACCCCACTCCCCTCACAGCCACATCTGGAGGCTTGGCCAGGAGTATCTTCTGCTAGGGGAGGTGCACCAGGTCGGGGTCCTCAATCTTCCCTGAAGATGGGCTCTGCTGGACAAAGATCTAGGCTGCCTCCTTCAGGAAGCCCTCTGGGATTGCAGCACAGGGCAAGGTCCTTCCCCTGGCAGTGGGTCATTCCAGGTGGGTGGAAAGTCTCTGGCTGTTGAGACCCCCTCTGCCTGCCTCCCCGCAAGCTCAGCAGACCCTGACTGACCCCCTGGCCCCACTGGACACCACAAGACCCCCCTGGACTCCTCCAGTGGAGGCAGTCTGGCAGGAGTGGGTGTGTCCTCGGACAGAGGCCTGCAGGAGCCCCCACAGAGTTCCCGGCCGTCCCAGCCCCTGGCCCTGCCTGGCAGACAATCGGAGCTGGATCCCTCTGCGCTGGGATTCAGGGGGAGCCCGGCTTGCCCAGGGCGGCTCTGAAGACCCCCACGACCACCCCAGGCCCCGTGCCCCCTGTTACCGTCTCAGGGATTCAGGGATGCTCCCTGCCTGGTCGGCCATCTGCGTTACTGTCCCGGCAACCCAGCCGTTAAAGAGCCCTTTCATGCCCGCCCGGGCGCCTGTGGCTTCCTCTGGGCCGTCCAAGACCAACAGGCTGAGAGGCCAGCTCCGCCGGGCTCCGGACAGGAGGCTGGCAGGGCCCCACGTCCACTGTGAAGCCTGCGTCGCGGCCCCAGGGTCCTCCCGCCAGCCTCATGCCCATGAGTGGGGCTGGGGCCCGGCGTCTCGGCCGACTGGGTCGCGGGATGGTGCCGTGGGCACGCGGCTCTCCTCCATCAGGAAACCAAGCTTGCTGCCCACCTGGGGTGCGGCGCCCTGAGGAGAAGCAGGGAGGTGGAAGCTGTGGTTGGGCGGGCCTGGCAAGGGGGCTGTGGGCCAAGGCCAGTGTTTGGGCCCAGACCAAGGCCTCCATGCTGCACGGGGCCCTCCTGGCCACCAGGCCGCCCGGTGACACACAGCCCTCATGCTGCTGGCGGGGAGGCCAGGCTGGACGGAGCCCAGGAGCACAGTCTGCCCAGGCTCCGTGGGGTCTCTTCAGTCCCTCATGACACCCCTGGGGAGGCCCCGCACCAGCCCTGCCTCTCGGCGGATAAGGACTGGGCTGGACCACTTGCGGGAATGACTCCTAGGCCTCCCAGGCCTCAGCGGGCGGGGACTCCATTCTCCACAGGCCCCAGGCCAAGCCACACAGCGCCCTGGCCGCGTCCTGCTCCGACCCTGGGCCTCTGGACACAGACACGCGGCCATTCCCCACGGGTCCTTCCTCCACAAGCCGGTCCCTGTTGCGGGAGGCGCTGGATGTGGCGGGAGAATTGTGGCAGCCTTGCCCGAAAGCAGACTGCAGGCGGGGAGGGGCCCCGAGCTGGCTCAGTCCCCTTGGTAGATTCGTGTGCGGCCTGGGGTCCCGCTCTCCCCGCAGCCCCTCAGCCTGGCCTGACCCTCAGCAGCCCCATGCTAAAGACCAAGGAGGAAAGGAGGACAGGAGGTGAGGGGAGACCAAGGGGTCCCCCCGTGGGGGTTCGTGTGCCAGGCTTCGGGCAGCAGGCGCTGGGGAGGGCTGTGGTGGGGGCTGCACCAACTGTGGCCGGTTCCCGGCTCCCCTTCCAGCTGGGCCTGGGCGGTGACAGCTCACCCTTGGCAGCCGCACCCACCAGGCCCAGCAGCCCCCTCTGGGGACAGCCATCTTCACCCTGTTGGCTGTGGCGGCACAGATGGGGTGTGAAGACCTGAGACCCTGTGACTATGGCGCCTGCAGCCCACCGAGCCGGCTCTGCGTAGCTGTGACCCGGGTGGCGAGAACACAGCTCTGCAGGTGCGTCCCAGTGGGACAGAGCGGGGCTCCTGGGGCTGGTGGAGAAAGATGGGCAGACGCCAACACTCCACCGCAGCCTGGGTCTGAGCTTAGCCTCCACGCCCGTGAAATGGACACCCATGGAGCTCAGAAGTGTCCAGAGCATCCCTGAGGCCCAGACACAGAGAACCTGAGTCCCCTCCCTGTGCCCCTCGGAGCCCCCCGACACCAGCAGAACTGCCCCCCAAAAACAGATGGGTGTTCCTGACAGTCCCCCTTGTTGGGAGCAGGTCCCGGAGCCTCCCCAAGCACAGGGCGGGGTGGAAGGAGGTTCAGGGGTGGGTGAACGGCCCGGGAAGGGTGCTTTGGGGTCCTTCAGGTTCGGGTGGCCTGGGATGACCCGGCCTGGGGAGAGTCCGTCTGGGCAGGCGGCTGGCGGGGCCGATGCCCGAACCACTGTGGCACAGAAGCTGCAGGCCGGGCCTGAGTGGGGTGGGCAGGGAGCGCGGAGGGTGACTCAGTGGGGCAGGACAGCATGTCTCCTGGACAGAAATAGCCCTGGCCAGGCACGACCGCGGCATTGCCGTGGCGACGGGGGAGCGGCTGCCGCTGGGCGCCCTGGGGCCCGCCCCCCACAGACACCCAGCAGTGTCCCAGGAGGGGCCGCCCCCTCTCCGTGCTGCAGGCGCTTGTGCCAGTGAGGTGCAGGTGGGGGTGCCAGGGGAGGGGTCTCAGCAAGACCCCCGACTCCACCCCCCCTCCCAGCCTTCAGCTCCCCGCTGTGCAGACTGGGGCCTCCTGGATGCAGGGGCTCACTCGGCCCCCGAGAGGGGTGGCCAGTCTTTCTAAAGGAAGGCGTTTGGGGTGCACCCAGAAAACGGAGAGGGCTCCATCCATGGGGTTCAGGATTTTACTGTTAGACTGCGAAAGTCTGGGGCTCCTTTTTCAGCACAAAGTGGGCGGCCCCTGCGTGCCCCAGTCCGGTAGTCTGCAGTCTCCCTGCGCATGTGGGAGTGGGGAGGTCAGGAAATTGGGGGCGGGGGTGTTGGCCCCTCTCCAGCCCGGGAGTCGCGCCCATCATCAGGCTGCAGTCACCAGCCTGGCCCTGGCGTGGGAGCACAGTGGGTGCAGGCGCAGGGACCCCTGGGCTGTCTCCCCAGCTGTAAAGTGCACGTGAGGCCCAAAGTTGGAACCTGCCTCGTGCTCAGAACAGCTCCTGGCTCTGTGTTCCCAGCCTGGTGCCACCAGCCGGCCTCGGAGACTCCTTCCAGGCCCCCTCCCCCTTCCCCCGGCCCTAGGCTCCCCATAAGCCACCCCCTATCGGAGGGGACAGGGGGGCCTCAGCCTGACGAGGACCTGACAGGCCTGAGTGCTGCCTGGGCCTGGGCGATAATGAGGCCTGAGTGCGGGGCCGGGGCCGGCATGGAGGGACCATTATCTCCCAAGCCTCTTAATGGCCACTGGCCGAGAACACATGATGAGCCGCCACGTGGGAGGCGACAGCAGCCAGCAGCTCCCTGTGGGGCTGGAGCGGGCACAGCACAGGGACCTTACACCCACGGAGGCTGGCACCGGGTCTGAGCTCCACCCAGAGCCCTGGATGCAGGATGGGGCAGTCCCAGGCCACCCCTCCTGCAGCAGGCATGGGGCTCTGCAGCCGCCACTCACCCACACGCTACCCCTCCCTGGCCGTGGTGTCCCAGGCGGCAGGGAGTGAAGCCCCTACCCAGGCTCAGGGGCCTTTGAGTTCACCAGCTTCTGCCTGGCTCCAGGCTCCCCCATGCCAGGGGGACTGCAGAGAGGCGGTTCCTCGTCCCCCCCGGAGGTCACCGCCCCAGACCGTCTAGTGCCCTTGAGCAGCTTTGAGGGGTTGTGTGCACAGGACATGAGCTGCCTGCAGCCCCCCGGGTGAGGGTCCGCGCTGGGTCCTCTTCTCTGCTCCTGGCTGCCAAGACCCCGTGGCAACAGCACCCAGAGTGAATTTTAATGGCCCCAAAGAATGAGAGCCGGGCCCCGGTTGTCGCCGTGGTGACCGGCAGCTCCTAACGAACGGCATGGCTTCCACGGTGACGGGAGGTGACATTATCTCTGGAGAGCCTGTGCTGGAGAGAAGGTTCTGGAAGCTTCTGGGCCCACCTTTCAGGGTCAGGGTCTGAATTCCTCAATTCCTCAGTGGAAGGGGCACAGAGAAAGCCCCTTCCTGTGTGCCCCTCCACTGGCGCACACGCCCTGTGCAGAAAGCTAACATGCTCTTTATTTGGGAGACGGGACAGAAAATGCAGGATGGTGCCTGCACGGTGCCAGCCGCTTACTGGCCTCCAGGCAGCTGCAGGACGGTGGGGTAGCGGCGCAGTAGCTGTGCACGCCTGGCGGCCGACGTAGAGGCTGCTGGTCTTGACGGCGATGTCTTTCTCCAGGCTCCTGCACGTGCTCCAGGTT